ATCTACTTCACTGCTCAAGTAGCAACAAAATACACAAACAACCAAAAAGGCGACTGTAAGAACAACAATAACAATACCAACGGCGAACGAATTCAAGTGTGATTTTCGAAAATGGCAAAAGTATGTTTTCCAAATCTGACTTTAGCGTCAAATATTCAAGGCTAAACACAACAAGGAGTAGTAGAAGAATGGGGCGCAACATCAACTTTAGCGCAATTTGCAGTCTGCTATTTGGCACAAATCGATGTCCTTGGGCAGACGGGCGACGAGACACGTCGTTTGAATTTCTCTGTTGATTTTTCAAATTATTTGCCAAGGTTTTCGAAATGATGATAGCCCACACAGCCACCGAGTCACACTCTCGCCAGCAGCCAAGAGGCGTTGATGACTTTGGTTTGTTTGCGTGCAAATGTGCAGCTCGAATGGCTCAGGTCTTAGTCCTGTCATCCTTATATATGCAACTTAAGCAGGTTTTGCTGTTCATACCAAACTTTGCTTAGTTCGTCCTATTGAAATTTATAGTTTTAGCTGCTTTAGCTAGACGGTTTCATATAACACACAACTAATAGGTTTTCTTTGCATGGACTTTGTTGCTGTAGTTATTATTGTTTTTGTTGCTTCTACTCTGGTTGCCTGCTCAAATTTACTTGGTTTCCTCGTGAAGTTAACTTCAATAGTCGGATAGGTATTTTTTATATTTGTGGTAAGAAACTTTATAGACTGCAAAACATGTCTAAAATATGCAAACATTTATTTGAGTCCAGTGCGAATAATTCACATCAAAAAGAGTACACTGTCTTTCTGTTTTTAAGTACATTATAATACAACTTTGTTTTACTAAATATGACCAATATATTTCGATGCAGGGCTAGCAATAACAAGTAATTCCTTTTTGAGCACCGCATATTTAGCTTATAAAATTAAGAAATTAAATGTCAGTTTGCAGTTATTAAGCAATATAGAACAATGTTAGTAATTTTTTTTTGAGTAACATCGTTGTACGGACTATATTATTTAAATCTTTTTAGAGCCCAATTGGTCGGCCATTAATTAGGATCTTTAACTCGCGGGGAACGCAGTCGCTAATTAAAACATCCCCAAAAGTATGCAATGCTGAACTGCAACAGTCACTGCAGTGGAGCAACTTTTTCTACACTACGGCTAATCCACGCAAAGTTGGCATCCAACAGCGGTTGGCAAGCGCGCCACCAAAAACTGTTATGGAATTCATTTAAAGTTGAAGTCAAAAAAGTCACTAAAAAAAAATTGCAACGGAAAACAAAAGTTTTGTTCTCGTAACAAGGCAGGCAGCCAAAGTTGGCAGTTGATGAACTGCGACATGGACGTGGTCACATGAGGCAGCCGGTCCATTGTCCGTCTTTCGAAACCGGTCAATTTAAGCGGCTTAGAAGCCGGTATATAGAAATTGTGAATACGCTGCGTATGCGTTATATTTTTGTGAATTTATTTTTGTTTTTGCTCGTAATCAAATTTACATATTTGGGCCACTGAAATTAATTATAATGCCGCCACATACAAAAACCGCATTGAGAGATAAGGGCGGAACGAGATAGGAAGAGCGAGAGGGAGACCGAGAGAGAGAGAGAGAAGAGGGGGTGTAAGCAGTGTGAGTAAGAGAATGCTATGAATACGAAATGCTGTGCAGCTTTTGGCTTTGGTTTTGGCTTTGCGGCTCAGCGCCATCTCTTTCTCCACTGAATGTGTTGGTAATTTCATTTGGCCATTTCATTTACCCCCTCGCACCTCTCGGACACAAGCACACACATGGCAAAACTCATTTCATGGGTCACAGGGTACAATCATATGAGAGGGCAGCAAGCAAGCAACAGAACCGTCCAACACAAAAAACCTGGCCAAAAATTGATTATGGCGAAGGCTGCAACGCCCGAGGGTCGAGTAGATGGCAAACCGAGCAACTATCATCAAAATCCTATTAGTTGGCCTTGCATTGGCCAGAATACAGCTTTTGTCCTTGTCCAGTTGCCTGCGTTTTGTCAGCGTTTATTTGCCAAATTAATTCCCAAAAAGGTAAGCCAAACTTGCGATTTGAAACAATCAGCGCTGTCAAGGTTAGAGCTGCCCCCTCATCTCCATTTTCCAGCCCCTAACACACACACACGCACACGGGACCACAAAAGAAAAGTCTTTTTGTCCTTTTTGGTCTATTGCAACTGTTGTTTGCCCAGCGGGCAGAAGACGCCACCTGGGCTAGCACACAATTTGTGACAATTCCTTTTTGTGGATTAATATTTGCTCTGGTTCTGTCCCTGTCCCTTTCCTAACCCTTACTCTATCCCTTTTTGTCTCTGTCCCTCTTCCTGCACAATCCGCTTGACTACACCCTGGGATCCTGACCGGTTGCGCTTTTCCTATCCTTTCGTTAGTTTCTGTTTGTTTCCACACTTTATTTAAATTAACATGCGCATATTTTTTAATAGTCTTGTGTGTGCCCAGCAATTCCGAGATCTGTTGAGGGTGCCTCAAAAAAGGTATTTGGACAAAGGGTTGTTTTTGTGATTTGAGTCCCAAGATAATTATTTTTAATGCTGTTCTCATTGTTTTAGAACTTTATAATGTTTTGGGTCGCCCTGTTCAGTGTTGCCAAATTATTATTAAGATTAGCAAAATTGGCCAACTTTTATTGGGCTTACCCAAAAAAGTCTCTGTGAACTGCAGGGCTTGCAATGGTTTAAAGTAGAAAAAAAATAATTTCACCCTACGCAGTTTCTGGTCAAAATGTTAAGATTTACTTCTCCATTTGCTGATGTCTTTCGGGCATGGGGCATGAAACTCTGAACCTCTTGAAAAATGGGTAAAAATGGACAGACATTACATTACAAGCATTTTTGACGCCATAAGATATATATTTTCTTGGTCGGCTTCAATAATCAAGTCAATCTAGCTGTCTAGCCAACTGTCTGCATATGGATCCCTAAGCCTTTAAGCACTAGAGATTTGTCATTTCAAGTATACACTCTCGTATGATTATAAAATATATAAAATTTAAATTCAGACATCGCATTCTGACTTGTGAGCTGTCGTTTCTTGATGATAGACAACGTGACTTGCCCCCATCTCTACTCGACAGCATTCGCTTTTTAACTGAATAAATATTTTTGATTAACTTCATCGGTGTATTACACACAATAACACAACCGAACATAAAAAGCAATTCAATTAAAAAATATTTGTAATATTTCAACTCATATGATTCATTTTTATCAAAAAAAAAAAAAAAAAAAAAAAGTATTTTTATTTATTAGCAAATGAAATCGTAGAGACCCTAGCAATTCACTCTAGCAAATTATTTAATTTTCGTAATTGCCCTCACGATAAATGTGCACTTTACATTGGAGTAATTGAAAAATGCGCTTAGCAGCCAAGCGCAACAAGAAATACTTAAGCAGGACAAATGTGGGCGGCAGCTACCGACGATAAGAGATACCAAAATTTTTCTTCAGACGGTCACAAAGAAGGACCTATACCACGAATTTTTGGTCACGAGAAAGTCTAAACAACTGGGTCTGACAAGACTTACTGTAAAAAAAAAAAAGAAAATAATAAATAACGTGGTCGAAAAATGACTCTCTTTACTCCCACAAGTGAAGTTGCTACTGATTAGGTGATGTCTGGTGGGTATGACATCTATCCTGATATATGGCTGAGCATACATGAAACTCCTTTTTCTGTACCGTGCACAATGTCTGACAAAGTTGGCGTCGTTTGTTTTGGTACGTCCTGTGCTTCTGGTCAGTTTTCTTGGCGTATGCACTAAGACGCCACTTGAAGGACACTAATGCGCCTACCGGACAACAAGAAGGATTTTTATAGTGCCTTTTTCCTTAACCGCATGTACCTAACTATTCTGCGGACATTTAAACACAAAATTATTTAAATTGTGTATATTGTAATCGAATAAACTAAAAATAGAAATCTGTCTTATATCAAAAAACTAAAATTGGTAAATATAACTACTTTCAATCAACTAAATGTTGTTATATTGAAAACGTATTGAATTCGATAAATGAAGGCGAAACCGGGTTTACAAATCAGATCTTCGGACAAAAGTTGTCATTTAAGTTAAAGTCAGTGTGATACTTATAAATATTTATTATAATTTCAATTCATATTGTGTTGAGCTGCAAATGTTGATATTTGTACCACGGCATTTTATGTTATGAGCAAATTCCAATTAATATCGAACTACTCAAGCATATAGATCCAATTAAACCGATAGGCTGAGTTTAACTATTGTAATATGTCAAAACTGCAAATCATTATCATAAATAAAGTCAGCCAATATATTATTTGACGCATGCTATCAGCATTGATCAGAGTATATAGCATGTTTGCAGAGGTCTTTAATCTTTGGAACCAAGATCAATGTTCTTTCTTGTGTTACTTGTAATTTATTTAATTGACAGTAGATAGCTATAGATAATAGCTTTATATCAGTATACATAATGTAGTCCAAGATGTGTTAGTGCATCAAGTTCAAGCCCAAAATGGGAATTTGAATTGCTGATAGCAACGGTGTCGTTGCCAAAATCAAACACAGAATTAATTGTGCCTGTTACTGATGTTGCAATCCAAACGGCTACCGAGTGTCAACACCCTGCGTACACTTGCGAATTTTATTGGCATCGAATTATTTCCCCACTAAAAACAAGAAAACCGACTAGAAAATCTATGACGAAATTGTAGCGCCAACAGCATCTGTTCTCTCTTGTGAGCTCAGTGGCCCACTAACTGACCAGCTGTTCGACTGTGTGGCATGCACGACATCGATGCCGGAGCTGTCGGCGAAGACGTTGCGAAATTTGCAAGCCGCTCAAATCAAGTTTTCCTCAAGCGGCGCTGCAACGAAAGTGAGGTGCAATATTTGAAATTTGTAAAATGTTTGCCGCGCGTTTCATTTAGTTTTCAATCACTGCTTGCTGAAGCTAGTCGTGTAAACTGCTTGGAAAACTGAGCTGCACATCATTGAGATCGTGGTATTGTCTAAGATGAGAGAGCTCCTGGGGTGCGTTATGCTTCTTGCATGGGTTACTCGCGTTGTTCGAGGCGAAGATCCTTATTTGACTGAGCCGCGTAAGTGTCAAGTGAATTGTAAGCCGTCGACCTTGTGTCTGATAAATGCTCAAGTACACCCATTGAACATTCAAATACTTATTTTAAAAGTTAATTTTAGTTGGTTAAGGTCCGAAGTGCATTTACTAAACGTAGATTTCACCGTTAATTCAATTCAAAAATTCCCAATGACCATTGAAATCAAATACTGGCCTAGCCGGCACGCAATGTAACTAACCCACTTAATGGTTTATGCCAAATATTGCACCACTAAACCGGATTTGTTTCTCTGCATTTATGTGTGTCTTTTTATTTTGCAATTCAACAAAACTGAACTCAAAAACCAATTTTAATCGAACCGCAGCAGATTACATTAAACAATGTAAAATAGCCGATAAGAATTTCATCAACTGTTCCACGCAAAGCATACAACAGCTCTTCGACAAACTAAACGACGGTGAGTCGCATACGCCCCTGGGTGTACTCGCATTTGACTAACCACACCCACTGCATTTAAAAGGCATTCCGGGACTGACAAGCATCAAAAGCTTTGATCCATTCTATTTGAATCGCATCAGAATATCACAAGGCAACAGCAATGCGATCAATCTAAAAGTCGAGCTGGCCAATGTTAAGATTATTGGATTTGGACATACCAAGGTGCTAGAGAGCATGTAAGTTAGATCGAGGAGTCGTGTACAGCATATTGGGCAGATGCCAATCAAGTTATATGTCTTCTGTTTGGCAGAGTTTTTAAAAAGGATTACAGCTGGAAGACAACGTTTACGTTGCCGGTCATGAAGCTCATTGGTGATTATAGTTTATTGGGGCGCATATTGCTCATTCCACTGAATGGGCGTGGTCAGGTGTTTTTGGATGCAGGTAAGCTTGCTTCTCAATACTTGCCAGAAAATGGTCAAGCCTTTGTGTCGCCGCACAGAAAACATGACAGTTACCATGCACACAAAGACGCGGCTGTACACGAAAGGCGACTTCACATTTTACAATGTGACCAACTGTCGCGTGGACTTCAAAATCGATGGCCTAAAATCGTATTTCTCCAATCTTTTCAACGGCAACAAGCAATTAGGTAAGTAACTAAGCTGTCCTCTAGCATCCCCTGCCTCAAGCGCATTCCTTTCCAGAGGACAGCACCAACAAATTCTTCAACGATAACTGGCGGATGCTGGCCGATGCTCTTTATACCGTAATCACACAGACCATCGAGGATATTCTGCTAGATGTTCTGAAGAAGATATTTCACTTCATACCAGCGAATTACTTTGTCAGCGACATACCCACGCCGGAGCAACTCTATGGCAAAGCAAAGCCAAAGCCAAAGTGAATATTGTTCTGAATTTTGAGAGTTTGTGGATTATTTATTGGATTTGGCTAGCGAAATAAAACTATTTAAGATGATTCCTGAGGGCTTTCACATGATATTTCCCAACTCGTCTATTCTTCTCTAGATGTTTTTGATTGATTTTTCTTATTGTAAAATTTGGTTGCAAAATTTGGTTGGTTATTGTTTCTACGTGAAGCTAATTTTTATAACTCTACTTGATATTAACTTCATAAAATACGCTTTTTGCACCCCGAAAAGTGGGCAGACGAAATATATATCAAAGAAATTGCGCGGCAATGTATTCAGACTACAGCGCCTTAATTCTTTTATTAATCTAAGTTGGCTTCAAATAGCCCAGACCACACCAACAGTTGGTTTAAGGCAGGTACCTCTTATTTACATTCACATTTCTAGCCATTCGAGTGATTTGATTGTCCGAAAGAGAAGATTTTGCTAAAATCAAACACAATATAACCTTCTCTGAAATCGCGGAGATTAAAGATTCAAAATGAAACAATACAAAAAAATAGAAGCAGAATCATAAATATTCATAGGAAAACAAACAAAGCAAGCAAATGTACATAAAAACTTTGTGATGGCTGCTGTGTGTAGGCGAGCAGATTATTTTAAATGTGATATTTGTACAAGTAACACGAATTTTGGCTTTAGACAAATTGGAAAATAACAGAACAGAAATGAATTCCTGGTAAGTACTTATTAAAGATGACCCGCATAATTGTCAGCTCTAGAGCAGCTTCTAATTACTTTTAACCAATGGCAGGCTGCGTGATTCTCTGAGCGAGATTTTGCGTTCCCATCGTCACACAGACTGCAAGTTCATTATAGAAACATCGACAGGCAGCAAAGTGTATCCCTGCCACAAATTGATATTGAGCTGCGCCTCTGAGGTATTTGATCGCATGCTCTTTGGCAGCTACAATGAGTCCACTAGCGGAGAGGTGAAGCTAACTGATGTGGAGCCGAAAGTGTTTGAGAAGTTCCGCGAATACGTGTATAGCTACGATGTTGAAAAACTTCAGGTTTACGACTTTGATACACTTGTAAAACTGTCAGAGTTTGGCAACAAGTATCTGGTAGAGTCCATCAAAGAGGACTGCGTGCGCCAGCTACTGTACCGCAAGGACATGTACGATACAGATGAGCTGCTGCGTCTCTTTCAGTGTGCACATACGCTCAATAGCTCGCCATTGATCGAGCAGGTGTCCCGTGACCTGAAAACTCATGCAAAGAGGGTGCTAAACCACTCGGCCATCTACCAGTTCGGCACGGACGTGTTCAAGCTGTACATTCAGGTGGTCGAGGGCAGACTCAGTGAGGCAGAGCGTTTTAATTTGATTGAAATGTATATTAAATTTCATGATCTGGACCAGTCTAACACAGATTCAATCACCACTGATGCTGATACAGATGAAGAAACACCAACATCAGGAATAAACCCCACGAATGTCAGTGCTTTGTCCGAAGGGGAGAGTAAAATTAGCACAGACTTTATTGCCGATTTACTGGGACTTATCGACTTTACTAAGTTCACGCCCAAGGAATTCTATGAAGGCCCCGGCAAATCGAATTTACTTAACATGCAACAAAAGTACGAACACCTCTACAAGATCGCTAGGACCTGTGCACATGCTGTGGCCCAGGAGGAGCTGGAGAACAAGCTGAGTAACTGTTTCCTCTCTCCAACCTGTCATCCCGATCTTGATGTCCAGCGACAATACTTGACTCGCCCACATGTTGCCAGCTCAATGCGACGGTGCGGAACACTTCGCGAATGGGATAACTTGTAGTTTGTGTAATTGGAATGCCAGAATCATAATAGTTAAATTTTTGAAAATTTTCAATACCTATTTTCAATATTTGAGCAACATACATCTATGACAACTGTATAAATATTAACTTATTAAAATTTAACTTGAACTATAAATAAAAATAATTAAATATAAAATAGTTACTAGTTGCCTTGCCCTTCAGTTTATCAAACGGTTGCCATTTTCAATGTGAAGTAAGAAAACGCCAAACTATCGCGATAGTAAATAGAAAATCTGTCGCTATTGATTAGACCAATAATTGTTCTGGAGACTGCAACCATTATAAAAATCGTAGATAAAAGTATTACAACTGCAGTTCAGAAAATTGAGCCATAAACATGGAAAACCAACTACAGATGGAAGGAAGTTAGGGGTCGGCAAAGTTAACCGCAAACAGTGCAAAGCTAAAGCCGCGTGTTTAAATTAATTGCCGCAAACATACCCAAGCCCCAAATAAATTTATATAATTTATACCCTGTACCCAAAAGCCATATGTATTTGCATATGTACACACAATCTGTATTTCAGATCAATAATAGCCTAGCAAGGCAGATTCCTAATAGAAAGATAAGAAATTAGAAAATCAATGGAAACGCAAATGTTAATATCGAAAAAATAAATATAAATATAAATATAAATATACATAAATTAAAATTATATTTATTTTTATTTCCCCGTTCAATTTATAAATATATCTGTACACTTAATACTCGAAAGAGCAAAGAAATTATCGCGAATAGAGATCACAAGCGGATTTTTTATGAGTAATATAAAATTATTAAATAAATTTAATTTTAACAATAACTATATATATGTATATGGTTGAATATATGGGTATCCGTCAGTCGGGCACTTTCGCTAGTGGCATTTTTTGTTGCGCATTGCCTTTTTTTGCGCATTGCCCTTTGTGAAGTCTGCCAATAATTTGTGAATGCAGCGGCTGCTGATGTTGTTACCGTAACTATTGTTGTTGTTTTTAATTTACCAGAACCGCATTTAAAACATTTGACGCAGTGGCCGCCATTACAAATGTCAAGCAATAAGTAAAATTTAACTCGCGAAGCGTTTGCTAACTTTTCCACAGATTAAATGAATATGTCTCTAAAAGAATTGGTCCTGACCGAACGCCTTCAAACTCATTTCAAAGCTCTACAATATAAAATAATAAATACGCTTTTTTTATGGACTAACCACACGAACGCAAATAAATTGGCGTACAATTTGTATGCAATTTTGGTATTAATTACCACAGGCAGAAATTGGATGGAAAAGTAAAGTCCAAAGTCTTGAGGAAAAACACCTAGCCCTTATATACATTCCCATTCGGTTTTAAAATCAAATATAACACTACCAAAGAGTTCATTTTCTATTAGGCCCAACTAGTTATCATTGAGTAGAACCATTTTCTTTACATCTAGCCATTCCTGTTTCTAGACTGTTGTTAAGTCTTTTTGCTCTCTGAACAGAGTATTGCACAACCCAATCTATGCTTGTGTTTATATCTGAATGCCAAAGTGACAATTCCTGTGCGTTATTGCAATAAATTTGGAGATTCCAGTAACAAGTGATGCTCCAAACTGCAGTTGCACAAAAGTCAACAACGAGATACGTAATGCCAGACAATAGAAAACAGCAAGCGAACAAAAACCAAAGAAAAACAAGAACCCATGATCCTAACTGGCAAGCCGAAGGTTAAATACACTAGTAAAAAAAACACATGGCTTACAGTTACAAAAATAATTGAAGAAAGTTGTATCGCTCTTAGATGCTCAGTTTGATAAAGATATATTTAAAATCAGTAAGGAAGGAGCTTCATTATTGGAGCCTGAAGGAAACATATATCGCACTATATAATATGCTCTTAAATTTAATAAATAGCGCTATGGCAGCGATTACTTAAAACAGCTTTGAAATTGTTGGTTACGAACAGTGTGAATGATCTGCAATACTCTTTTTTTTCGCGTCGTGCAAATGATTTCCATGATACAGAAGATGTATAGGCAGACAGGAAGAGTTAAAATGATTTCAATATTCGCAGCGAATGTTGCTCAATATTTGCTAAAGCTGCTCTGCGAGCTGTTTGTTTCTGACAACGTGTCCGGATAGTTTTTTTGACACATCAGTCTGAAGGGGAGCAATGCTTCATCGATTAGAATGAACTACGTTCAAAATTTCAAGTCACTTGCTCTGGTTCTGACATCCGGGCATAGCTAGATCCAATCTTTTAGAATGAACTTCGAACTTAAAAAATATATAGTTGAGACAGTTAGTATCGCAGCTCTCATTAACTTGTTAATCCCAAAACTATTGTCGCTTGAAATTCATTTTAAAATGTTGTGCCACATCTAACATACGCGTAATTAGATGAGCGCATACTTTGACTCATGACCATAAATTAACTATATAATTATTTTGTCCACTCAGCGTTATGGTCCAATTAATTATAAAATATTTTCAAATTAAATCATGTCATTGCAAGCGGTAAACGCATATTTGTGGATTAAAAAAAAAAACACAATTGTCTGCTGCATAATATGTACAATGAGAGTACATGAACTTTAAAGCCCAAATAATAAAAATTTATGGCCAAATAATTGCAATCTCATTAGGACAACCCCGAAACCAGAACATGAACATGACACCAGTCCGAGCCCGGCCAATTTGTAGAGCGCCATCGCCATTCGGGGACGCGTAAATATAAGTATCCGCATTTTGTAAAATATTTAACAATAATTGAGCGTAAAATAATCGCACAAAATGTGCCGTCCATCGATAAAGTCCACGCATGGCGAGAAACTCCCAACTGCCCGCCAGTCGGTCCCCAGTTACCGTGCGCGTTAATTGCACCGATTCTGTTGCCGTTGTCCCTGTAACATCGCATCGCACATGGACACGGATTGCGGCGACAATTGTAATTAAATAGACACCACACATGGCGGACGCGCTTGCCCTCTGCAAATGCATACGCTACAGTCGACAGCGGCGGTCAGACATGGGCTGCAGCGAGGCTCCATGAGATAACTCTGGTGTCTTGTGGCCCGATTTTGTACGGACAGTGGAATAACAACGAAAGTTCCCCGTAACTAGGATAAAGAATTACTTTCGGGTTGCCTTTAATATAGTATTCCGAATAGCAAATATATTTTTTGTTTCAAGAATTTTTTTTTTTAGATTATTTTTATACATAATCTTATAAAAATTCAAATAAACAATAAAGAATGATTGGATATCTAACTTTAGACTAT